AAGCAGCGATCTACCTGGAGGGCAATATAGGTTTGGATTGTGGATACGTCGTGTTAGTTTGGTCCTTTATTCCCTCTCACAAACGGTTTAAAGGCGTTCTCTTGAGTTTATTGTTTCCCCCCGATCTTCAATTAAACAGGGACGCCTCTTACCAACCTTCCTACACGCCGCGTACCCGCACCGCCCTGAGCGTTTAAAGCGAGCTACAAAGATACTCACATACAGAGATAGATAGATAGATAGATAGATAGATAGATAGATAGAGAGAGAGATAGAGAGAGAGAGAGAGAGAGAGAGAGAGAGAGAGAGAGAGAGAGAGAGAGAGAGAGAGAGAGAGAGAGAGAGAGAGAGAGAGAGAGAGAGAGAGAGAGAGAGAGAGAGAGAGAGAGAGAGAGAGAGAGAGAGAGAGTGAGTTAGCTCTATTGATACAAGGAGAAGAACATAGTACTATCAAGCCATTCTGAACTTTCTGAAGACCAAAGTGAAGATATTTCCTACATACCATTTAATTCAGAAAAGTTCGTGAAAGAGCAATACCTCAATTAATTCATAAAAGTGTTTTATTATGTATTTATAGTTGCGTGTCACCTCATAAGCCCGCAGTATGAATGCACAATATCGACCTAAATTGATTCATATATTCCACTTTAAAATGTCTGCCAACTGTCCCCGATGGGTCTTTTCTGGTATCATGCATAATATTATATTTCCTCTCTGTCGGTTCCCATGTACGGTACATATCTTAACTCTGAAAAATAAAAGAACAAAGCAGAACTGCACTTCAAGGGAGCCAGGAAACGAACTCGTAACTTTCTTTTATATATATATATATATATACATTTTGTATATATCTATCTCTCTCTCTCTCTCTCTCTCTATCTATATATATATATATATATATATATAATATATGTATATTATATTATATATATATATATATATATATATATATATATAGAGAGAGAGAGAGAGAGAGAGAGATTATATGGAGAGAGATATAGATATAGATATATATAATTTACATATTATAGATAGATAGATAGATAGATAGATAGATAGATAGATAGATAGATAGATAGATAGATAGATAGATAGATAGATAGATAGATAGATAGATAGATAGATATAATTTTTTAAATTCTTTTTAGAAATTTATTTCAAAAGAAACATTTTACGGCAACCCTTACAATATTCCGTTCCAAAGTGACTTGCCTGGAAACTGACATGCATAATGATGTCTGGTACAATTAGCTGTAGAAGAAACCACAGGAGACACTTGTCAGAAGAAGACCACGAACATGACATAGGCGAGCGGTGCCTGGGGACAATTTCAAATTGTAATATCTATGTCAGATGAATTCATGACTTTATTATTTTGTTAACCTTCATAGCTGGCCGTGGGTTGTGGTTTGTTGAAGGTAGTGTTCAGGTTTTTCCCTGGGGTGGGATGAGGCGGTGCGAGAGATAGATAGATA